GAGATTTATCATAGAAAAAAAAGGCTGTACAAAATAAAGAAATGTAAAAGCAAAGGCAAAGTTTTCCCTTGTCCTACGTGTGCTTGTGTTTATGTTGTATGTGTACTATGCGTTCTTTTCTTGTATTTTTACCTTTCATAAAGGAGATATAATGAAACTGAACTAGACAAAACATAAATTAAGTATCTTCATTGCCATTTTTTTTTAAAGGTTATAACGTGTCTTCTGTATGTGAATTTTACCTATCGTTAAAGTTCAAAATTTATGCAATAGGATTGTTGCATGTTCATCTTTCTTTTGTTTTTTTTTTTTTTTTACATTGTCATCTCTTATTTTCATGGTTGCTTGGATTTGCATTAATTGGTGAAAATCAAAAGTTAATTTTCAATCTATTCCTTAAAACTCTTATCCAAATTTAAATAACTAGTGCATTTTGCCTTGCTTAGCATTTCAAGATATTTTTATGAAAGAATGTTGTCATTTTGTTGTTCTTAATCCAAACTTTCATGCACTCTTATGATACAAATCTATGATACCAACAAAATATCTTCTCTTATACCCAAATTTGTTGGACATGTTTCTATATTAAAGATGAGGTTATCATTTTGCTCTTGATAGCTGTAAAATTGGAAGAAATTAAGGTAATAATACAATTACATTATTAGTTCTTTTTATTTAATTTTGTATGAAATTTGGTTTTCACAAATAAAAAGTTGTTAATAACAAATTGCTATTTAGTGATTAAAGTACAAATAATAAGTTAAAAAAAAAACTAATAGTTGATTAAACTAAATTTGTCAATTAATAAATTATTTACTAAATAATGGCTTGTATTTAACAAGTAACATGTTTTAATGTAAAAGAAAGTAACCTTCAATAATGTAATTTCTCCTTTATGATAAATGGTTAATACCATATATAAGTTATATGTTGATTAGTAAATAAGGGATTACTAATGTCTAGAAATGTTCTTTGCAATTTTATAAAGGGAACATTAGATATGTCTAATGATCAAAGTTGGATGTATCATCAGCGAGATGATAGGGTTTATTCATTGAGGAATTTAAAGTGGGTGTTGATGTATTCCTCAAATTTGCATTTTAACAACAAGACCCAAAGATTTGTTGTCGCAAAATGATTCGGTCTCCATGTATGCATTGTAAAAATATAGATTGGCATACACGCAGCATGGTTGGTATGCATCTCTATGCTAATGATTTCATTAACAGGTATCTTGTTTAGAGTTACCATGTAGAATGTAGTGCATAATGAATATGTTGTGATATGGGTCAATCATCATCCTCTGCATGCGATGATCTATTTAGAGAAAGGGCCATTAATGCAATGGGTTCACAATGGCATGAAAGTGTGGATATTTTTGGTGATGTAGGTGGAATGAATAAAATTGGTGAAGTGGAAATAGGTGATGCAAAACAAGTATTTGAGCAGCCGAGTGGAAAGGCAAAGGAGTTTTTTGATCTCTTACAAGCCGCTGCAACACCACATTTTGATGGATGTGATAAGGGCACTACGGTGTTAAGTTGGATAACTTATATGCTCAACGTAAAGACGCTTTATAACATGAGAGTGGTTAGTTGGGACAATATGTTGAAGGGCACTTTGATGGGGTTTAAGAAAGAGGATTAAGAGAGATTGTTGAAAAACTATTATAGTGCAAAGAAAATGTTGAGAAGGCTTGGTCTTGGTTATAAGAAGTATGATGTTAGTGTCAACAATTGTGTGCTTTACTATGATGAATTACAAAGCAATAAAAATAGAGTGTGCCCAATTTATCATGAGCCACATTATAAGCAGAGGAAGGACCCATCTAATAAGTCGTAAAAGGACATACCAAAGAAGTCGTTATGGCACCTCCCAATTACACCTAAACTCCAAAGACTCTTCACGTCTAGAAAAATTGCATAACACATGACATGGCATGTTAAGTGTCATTATGAGAATGAAAAGATTGCTTATCCTTTTGAGGCAAAGGCGTGGCAAAACTTTGATCGTACTTATCCAAATTTTGCTTTTGAGCTTAGGAATGTGAGGCTTGGCTTATGCACAGATGGGTTCTCTTTTTTTGGACAATTTGCATCACCATATTCATGTTGGCCAGTTTTGTTACCATTTACAACCTCCCTCCATCTATGTGTATGAAACCAGAGTACATATTCTTGATTCTAATTATTTTTGGCCCTCAAAGTCCAAGAAAAGACATTGATGTGATGTTGTGGCCACTCATTGATGAGCTTAAGCAACTATGGGCGCCTGGTGTCAAAATTTATAATAGCTTTAGGCATTAAAACTTTAACATGAGGGCAGCCCTTATGTGGACGATCAATGACTACCCTAGGTATGGTATGTTGTTAGGATGGAGCACTCATGGAAAGTTGTCATGCCTATATTATATGGAAAACACTAGGGCTTTCTACCTTCAAAATGGAAGGAAAATATCATTATTTGATTGTTATCAGCAATTCTTACCAACCAATCATCCATTTAGATCAAACAAGAATGAATTCTTTAAGAATCATGTCAAAAAACTTGGCCACCCGCCTAGATTGTTTGGTGAATAGGTTTAGGGCCAAATTTGTTATTTTTTAGACATTCAATTTGTAAAGCCAGATAAGAAGAAAAAAATTCCTAGTTTCGGTGATTATCATAATTGGGTAAAAAAAGCATCTTCTGGGAGCTCCCATATTGGAAAACAAACTTAATTCAACACAACTTAGATGTTATGCATTGTGAAATGAACTTTTTTGATAACATCTTTAATACAATCATGGATGATCCGAGTAAAATGAGAGATAATGTTAAGGCAAGAATGTGCATAAAAGAATATTGCAAAAGGTGGATAACCAAGAGGGTAAAAAGCCTAAACCCACTTATTTTCTTAGTAAGGACTAGCGAAAGTTAGTATGTGAGTGGTTGAAGGATTTGAAATTGCTTGATGGTTATGCATCAAACATTTCGCATTGTGTGAACATACAAGAAGTTCGATTGCAAGAGTTGAAGAGTCACGATTGTCATGTATTCATGCAAAAGCTCTTGCTAATACAATATGGAAGCTACTTGTTGAAGTTAGTGACTTTTTTCGGGCCTTGTGTGGGTAAGTGATTTAGGTCAAAGATTTGGAGGTTTGGGAGGAAAAAATTGTGGAAACTATATGCAAACTTGAAGGATATTCCCACCTACATTTTTCAATTTGATGGAGCACTTGGTAGTGCATTTGCCATATGAGGCAAAAGTGGGAGGACTAGTTCAATTTTGTTGGATGTATCCAGATGAGCGGTAATTGTAATCACTTCTATACTTAATTCATCACATTTCATTCTTCACACAAATAATTGTACATAATATCTAACAAAGAATTCTGATTTAACTCTCAAATAGACAAATGCATAATTTGAAGTTAACTATGGGGAATAAAGCACGAGTGGAAGGGTCTATATGTGAGAATTACATTATGTTTGAGATCACACAATTTTGCTCACATTACTTCGATGGAAAGGTGGACACTCAAGCTAGTCATTTATCAAGGAATGAGGTTAATAGAGGGAATGATATAGATGTTGATGGATTATCAATCTTCAATTCCCCTAGTGAACCAATTGGAGGCTAACTCCTTTATCGATACTTAACCCAAGAGGAGTACAAGGTTGCCACACTTTATGTTCTAATGAATTGTGAAAAGATCAGGAAATGGGTTGAGTAAGTAACAATATCCATGTAAAAATCATCTAGCTAACACTTATAGATTGGTCCTAATAACCTTCTATTGTAGGTTATTTGAGGCACAAGAATGTCACAAGATGACACTCCAACAAATTCAAGAAAAGTGTTCAGAATATTTAGTTTCATGGTTTAAGAAATTGGTAAGTCACCCTCCAACCTTTGAAGAATGTTTCCAAATTTCAAAGTGTTTACCTATACCAACAATCATATATTTTTTATGTAGGTTCCAAGTGGCAAATTTGAAGTAGATGATCACCTAATTGGGTTGGCCACAGGACCTATTGATCGAGTGTCATGCTACAAAGGCTACATTATGAATGGTTATCGATTCCACACTGCCAAATATAGATATAACAAAAAGACAATGAATAGTGGTGTGTGTCTCATCGATGGTGGATTGGATTACTACGAAATGTCTGAAAAAGTGATAGAGCTTGAGTACTTACGTTCAAAGCACAAACAAAGGGTTGTTCTATTTAAATGTGATTGGTATGATATCACCCCACGTTGAGGATTTGTGGTTGACCAAAATCACCATCTAGTGAACATTAACCCAAAGTCCAAATTGAGAACATACAAACCATTCATCCTTGTTGGTCAAGCCCAATAAGTGTATTACACTCAGTACCCATCAATGAATTCTCAAAGAAAAGGATGGTGGGCAGTGATTAAGACCAAGGCAAGGAGTTACATTGACATGCCATTAGAGCTTTTAATAGAACAAGATGGAGATGAGACTTATTTCCAAGACAATTACCCACCCTTACCTCAATCAACCAATGTTGATGTCATCACATTCAAACCCATTGTGCATACTGATGGGACTTCTGTAGAGATTGTTGAAGAAAATCAAAACAATGAGGTAAAGGATAATGATACTGATGATGAAAAGGTTGAGTTAGACTTCTATGAGACATCTGAAGAAGAAAATAATAATTATATATCAGAGAATGAAAGTAACAAAATGACATGATGTATATTGATGTAAACTAATAAATTAATGATATTATTTTCTATGTTGTAGTTAATTATATATTTTGTAATATCCCCAAATTTTCTAAGATATTTAAGAGTGAGTTATGGACTAAATTGTGAAAGAATAATGTTGTTGGCCTTAATAATAGAAATTTTCAAAGTTCAGGGACTTAGAAGAAGGAAATAGGATAAGGATTGACTGATTTTTTTCTTTTCTTTCGTTTTTTTTTTTCTTTTTCTTTCTTTCTTCTTCCCACGCGTGTCCTGCTCTTCCTCTTCCTCCCGACCCTCTGCAACCCGACGAGCCCCCAGCTACCGCCACCCATTTCCGGCCGGGAACACCGGTAAAAATTGGGGATTTCCCCTTCTTTTCTTGTTCTAGAACACCTATTCAACCCAGAATTTTCCAGATCTGCTCTCTTCCCTCTGCCGTGAGTTCCCTGTTGCTGGGTGCGAATTTCTGGGCTTTTCCGGTAAGCAACAACCATGGAATTCATCTTTTCTCTCTTAATTTGGACTGGGTTACTCTAATTTTGTTGTGGGTTCTTGAATTTGGTAGTTGCCGTCAGTTCCTCCATTTCTTTTCCCCGTCGGCTTCCTTCCCAGCCGGACCCGGTGCTGCTTGCCGAAATTTTCTGGCATGATGGACAGCTTCATTTAAGTCCAAATTTCATCTAATTGGTGGTTGCTTTGCTGAATTTGGTCCTTGTGTGGCTGCCCTGTGATTGTCCGAATGCTGCCAAGAAAAAAAATGGAAGATTTCGGCAGCTTTAATTGTGTTTTTAGTTAATTCATGTAGGAATTAGTTTAATTAGGCTGCTGTGATGTTTTGGAGAGAAAAATCCCGTGCGTGTGAGTTGTGGTTTGCCAAGCCATGCTCTCCATGTGCTGCCCGTGAGTAAATGGGAAAATTTGATGTGTATTATGCAAATATATAAGTGCACAATTGATTTTGTGCTTGATTTCAGATAGAAAAATGAATAAATAAATAAATAGGGTATTATGGGCGCTAATTGTCGGCTAAATTGGGAAAGAATTAAATATGTCGTTTTATATGGGCATTAATTTTGGAAATATTTTGATTAGGTACTTGATTATTCTGCACTCTAGCACTTGGGATTAGTGTTCTGCTTGGTGCGATTAAGGTAAGTAAATTTATGGTAAAGCCCTTTGATTTTAAAGCATATTTTAAACTGTTTTTGAGATGGTGATAAGGTTTAAATTGATTTTATCAGCATCTGAGTGTGATTAAACTGAAATGAAAATTGTGATGATTTTTATCAAAATTATTATTTTCTGGAATTGAGCATGATTGGAATGAAAATGAGAATTTCATTGTTTTTCTGGAATAGAGCATGCCTACTTGGAATTTACTAAACTGCTATGATGATTTGAAAAATTTTGTAAATTCATAGTTTTTCTGTTAAATCCATGCTTACATAGAAATTTTTCGATTTATTTCTTAAATTTGAGATTGATTGTGAATTATGGATTTTTCTGGAAATCCTGCATGGTTTTGTCTCGGATATAGTCATGATTACTGACGCCCGCCAGTGGGAGTTTGCAAACGCTGACACATGTCGACATGTTTACTGATATGACCTGTCCATTCTGTAAGCCTGCCAATGGGTGAATACATTGGTAATTACTGACGCCTGCCAGTGGGAGTTGTTAAACACTGGTACCATTACTGACGCCTGCCAGTGGGAGTTTGTTAAACACTGGTACTTCTATAACCCTGCCAATGGGGTTAAACATTGGTTATTACTGACGCCTACTAGTGGGAGTTGTTAAACACTGGTACCATTACTGACGCTTGTCAGTGGGAGTTTGTTAAACACTGGCCATGACTTATAGATGAGACTACTAATGAGTTTTATTATGCATGAATGGTTTATCATTGAAAGTTCTATTATGCTTACATGGTTTATCTGGCATGCTTAAATTTTTACCAAGGGTTATCTATATTTTTACTTACTGAGATATTTTATCTCACCTAGTTTTCCTTGTCCACCATTTCAGGTAGTGATACCTGACACATGGGGAGCCGGGGGAGTGACGAACTAGACGGCTAGGCATTGTTTTGGACTTAGATCTTTTGGAGTTAAGTCGTTAGTCTCACATGGTTGACCTAAATAACCATTTTTGTGTACAGAGCTTCCTGGGTTATAGCCATGACCGTTTATAAACTTTTGTATATCTGGAATAGTAAAATTTTGGTAATTAAAAGTTAGATTTTACCTGAGTTTTAGATTTGAATTATCCAATTCGGAAATTAAGAACTCAGTAAGTCCCAAGCCTTGTGCATTTGTGGGACCCTCTCATAAGTGCACGGCATCTGCCACGTTCCCAGATTTGGGTTCTGGGGTATGACATATTTGTTCTAACATATATATTGCCCTTCTAGTTACTTAGAAAAATTATTTTATCATAAGTGCATTAAGGCATTTTTAATAAGTCTATAGTATCATTAACACAAATATATGTTCATAATTAAATCCTTAACCAATCAAATTATTGAAAACTTTATTTTATTTAGTATGATCTTAGTTTTCAGTTTTTTGTCTTTGTTTTCAAAAATTTAGAAACTATAAAATAAAATTAAGTAGTTTAATAAATTAATTAAGTTTAGAGTTTTATTTGTTTTAAAATTTTATATCCAATAAGTTAATAATTTTTATTTTTATTTTTGCTTTTTAATTATTAATTTTGATTGTTTGAATTTTAAACACCAAAACCAAAAACCACAAATATATTAAACAAAGCTTTAGTTTACAAGTAAATCCAAACAAATTGGATAGTTTCATCTTGTTGGTGCAACCTTTTCCCTCAAATTCCATTAACGAGAAGCATTTGTTGAAGAGATTTGTGTGATACTAATACAGGTGAAGAGAGCTTTTCAAAAAAAAAAAAAAAAATCTTTGCTAATGTGTGATACAACTACGAATTGGAAACAAAACAAGTTTCGACAATCAACAAAAATTTTATTAATTTAATACATGAAGATAAATTTGACCCTAATTACTCTCCCTTTTTGTAGCATAATCCATGAAATCCAAAAAAAGAAAAAAGTTGAAATAGATGATCGAGAAGCATCTCTAAGAGCTATCGACATCGTGTTTGGATAGCACTTGCAAGAGAATTATGCATGCATAATTCTTGATTAGACAGAGACTGATTTGATTTGTTTGTTGAAATATCTTGAGCTATTTGAGGGGAAAGATTAAACAAAGGAATTTGAGGGTATATAAAAGAATGAATCTTTTTTTATCTGTGTTGTTTCGAGTGGTACTTAGTCACAATCAACATAAAATATTGGGATGTACAATGGCAATTAGAAAGCAATTAATTAAGGCCTTACTATACTCAAATATATGATTTGATTTAAGAAGGCAATTACTTGATTTGATTAATCATCAAATGTAGTCACTAAGGAATCTTTTTTAAGTGTTGTTTCAAGTGCTATTTAGTGCAAAGAATAGATTGGTCAATTGGATGAAGTCCCATCCATATAAAGACACATTGATAAGCTCTAGAACACCCTAGGGTGAGGGGGTTTAGTTCTTGATTTCCTTTTTCATCTTCTCCATCTCTCAGTTGTCCCTACAATTTAAACCCATGTCTCTTATCCAAGTGGCAAGTTCTAAGCAAAATAACTCAAATTAATATCCAAAATTCAACATGCACAATAGTCATGGAGATGAAAATATTACTTGAATTTTTTATAGAATGAATATTATGTTTGGATTAAGAAAACCAAAAGGAAAGGAAAGGATATATATGAAACATTGTGCATCAAATTAAATGGAAAAAATGTCTCATCTCTATCATTGAATTCCAGTTGTTGAAGGATTTGGATGGACCCAAAACTAAATTTATATTTTCTTAATTTAATAATAAATTATACAATAAAAAATATTATCTCTATTTGTCTCAAAAATTGATAAAAGTTGAATATGAGATCTCTAATTAATAATTTCATATTTTAGTTCCATGAATTTTAGTGCCCTATCTAATGTAGCTGATGTTGCAAGTGATAAGGAAAAAAAATTAGAATTTTTTTTTAATTTGTACTTTAAAGGTATAATTAATATATTTTTTAATCATTAAATTATAAAAAAAATTTAAAAGATTGATATTAATTTTAATATCAATATCATGTATTTTAATTTAATTAGTTAATTCTTAAAATTAAAGTTTTAACTTTATTTTTTAATATAACTTAATAATTAAAATATGCATTGAATACAAATGTGCATGGATTTTTTTTTTTTTTTGAACAACAATGTTATTAATATAAGTACCAGGGTACTCAAACCCATATACAACAAGAAAGTGTTAAGATGAGATTAATCAAGTTTACAATGTTATGGGAACCAAATCTGTATTGAAAATACTCCCACCTATATAACTGCATCTATTTTTGTTTCCCTTTAACTGCTAGCATGCATAGTCTTGGCTCA